GGGGGCACCCCGCGGGGCACGGGTAATAATGGCCCCCCTTTGCTCTCCCCGGAAGAGGGGGAGGAGAGCAGAGAGCGCGCGCTCCGGCAGCCGAGAAACACTCGCGCGCAGGCCGTGTCCCGTCCGAGGCTGGAGGCGCTGCTGCTGAGCCTCGAGCAGCACGACGAAGACGAAGACGACAAACCGTCGACGCACACGTGTGTAACGACAGGTGGTGCGGGTACGGCGAACGCACGTGCCGCGGGGCGGGCACCGCCGCCGCCGCCGGCGGAATATAGGACACGGCCGGGAAATGATTTCTTGCGGGGCGCGGCAGGAAAAGAAGAAAATGGAAAAGGCGAGAGACGCGGGAAGAGAGAATTACACACAGAGCCGCAAGGAGTATTCGGGGAGCGTGCCAGTCGTCGATCACCAATCACACATACACTGCAGCTCGCGTGCGCGCGCGCGGGTTAACACACACACATACACACACGCACGAGCGGGCATAATACTACGTGAGGTGGTCTGTGCTGGGGTATACGCCTCGTGGCATTTTCCTGTTACGCTTCTCGTATTTCTGTTTTATAATCATAATTCAAAATTGATCCCGCACGCGCGGTATTCTGATTCTTCGCAGCGCGCTCGGTCTCCTGGCCGTGCCCTTCTCATTCTCTCTGTGGCAGATCTCTTTATAGAGAGTCGTGTGCGAATGAGGAACACCGCCTCGCCCCCCCCCCCCCGGCCATCTCACCCGACCGTACAGTATTTGCACTCACCGCTGGGAATTCCCCGCCTCGCCTCAACGAAGTGGGTCACAAATGGTGAGGTGGAAAGCCCTACGATGATGTAAGTGGTTCTAGGTTACATTCTGCTACTGGCCACTTAAGTCTTCCCGTCGACTTCTCCCCGCCCCCCACCCCTCCCCCTTCTCCTGCCCGCCTGGCAAAGACATAAATTACATCGTCAACGTCTGCTCCTTTTGCTTGTGAGCCCTCTTTCTCTTTCTCTCTCCTTCTTACTCGCTACACCTATACCGCCCTCTCTCTCCCTCTCTCCTCTCACACTCGAGCGCTCCGCTCCACATAAAGGCGACACGCTCTGTACTTCCAAGAAGCGTTTGCGCGTTTCAATTACTATTTTTACTGCCCTTCGCATAACTGGACAAGTGCGTCATTCACGCGCGCGGCTTTCCAGGAGGACGTTATCCTTGACGCGGACTTCTTGCGCGAAATAATACACAAACTTCACAAGTGACTCATTCCGTAGAGTGCCACAAATGGGGGAGTATAAGCAGGATTTTCTTGTTTTCTTTCTTTTTTTTTCGAAATAACCGAGCACACCTGCCCACACCACACCGGCGCGACGTTCGCGCTCGTTTACTTGTAGCGAGGTCATGCTGTTGTTGTTGTTCGGCCGCACACGGGGCGACGACGAGAACGCGGGCGGCGGGGGGCGGCGGGGGCAGCGGGGGCGGCGTGAAGCAAACAGGGTAAACTTTTTCAATTTCATGTTTGATTGTAAAATTATAGTCTAGCAGCTCGCCGGAGGGGGAGGTGTGGGAGGGGCTCGGCGCGGCTCCGGCGACGGCGGTGATTTGTGCTTGTTAGCCAGGTCGTAGTAGCAGGTTAGGTCATTGGCCCCGCCGGGCCGCGCTGCTCAGGCACAAGGAGGGAACCGTCCCGCTCAGCCCCCGATACGCGGGAGGCTTTGGGACGGAAAGTAGAGTGGCAGCGGCGATGGTGGGATGGGCGGCGCGGCCCCGAGGAGCTTCGAGTCATTACGGAATGACATGCCGAGCCGTAAAGGGGAAACTTTGAGACCGGCGAAGTGCTCGGCGTCCTGCTTTGAGTACCTCCCCGTCTCTCTCTCTCTCTCCCTCCCTCCCTCCCTCCCTCTCTCTCCCTCTCTCTCGCACTCCCCCGCGCGCGCTGTCCTTGGAGCGCCCCGCCGCCGCCCCCGGCGAGACACGGAGTTATGGCGACCCTGACATGCTGCGCTGGATGTACGCTCTCGCACTCTCACTCTCGGGCGCCCCTCTCTCCGTGTCTCTCTCTTTCTCTCTCGCACGCACACACGCTGACGCGCGTCTTAAACAGGCCGAAGTCTCCGTGCGGGCCACTCTCGCGGAGCCTTTCACGAGGAGTGGCGGGCGCCCACGCGATGCAGGCGCCGAGCCTTGTTGCGGTAGGCCAGGGGCGAGGCCGGGGCCCGCCGGCTGCACCACCCAGACACGAAATCAGGGTCAGGGAAAGGGAGGCTATACGCGCGCCAGGTGGGTTTCATTTCGGCAAACTTGCACGAGGGGGCCTCGGCGCCTGCGAGACTCTGGGTAGGCCACCCCGCCGTACACGCACGCGCTGCAAGGCAGGATGTTGCCTACCTGCAAGGCGCTAGGTGCAGCTTTCTGGAGGATCCCGTTCAGGCTCTTGGGTAATTTCGCGGGTTAACCCACTCGCCCGTTAAATCAGCCGCCTCCTTCAAATAACAGTTTTAAAATAACCTATTTTTAAAATATTTTTCCCATTTGTCCACTTAGAAAAAAGGACACTCGGCTGCTGCCTGCCAGCAGAGTAATCTATGCTGTGTCCGTACCCACTTGTCTTCGCGTGGCGTGTTCCCGCTAACGCCCACCACGGGCGAGGCAGCAACCCTTTCCTCTGAATTCCCCCCTCAGGCCGCTCGCCAGCTCGCCGGTCACCTCCCTCCGCCCTCCCTTCCGCATACCTGGGTAACACTCGGCCAACACCCAGCCCGGGGGGAGCGCTCCCCTCCGCTCCCCCTCCTCCAGCGTCGCGACGCGTCGCAGCGCGCCGTCACGCGGCAGGGGGGCTCCTCGGCGTCGGGGCGTTATGAGTTCCGTGAAGTGACCCGGCGGCCGGCTCGGGTCAGTGGGGGGGACCGGCCGGGAAAGTACGTCAGCCCGCCGTATCAGTTAATTTCCAGCGAAAGTTCGCGGGCGCCCTACTGTCCGCCCCGCCCTGCGCCGCCCCGCGGGTGCCCCCCGCCACACCGACGGGCCCGAGGCGACCCGGTCAGGGCTTGCTGGACGTGTGGTCAGTCCGAGCTCGACCACCGCGACGGAGTCACCGGCCACACCTCGAGCGGGTAGCCGAACACTGGCTTGTGTCCACCAGAGGAATTGACGCAGTCACTCGTTTTCACTACGAGCACCAACCACCTTTGCAGGTGAGATATCTACTTTAAAACTCGGACCGGAAGCTGTACTGTTTTAGTTTTACAAAATCCAAACAATACTAACCGATTTCTAATTTTGTTGTCTTCAGATTGCGGCCTGGTTCTCAAGTCAAGATGACTTCCTCCAACCTGGTACTAACTGTGGCAGCGATGTGCACCTTACTCTCGGCACTCTCCGGAGTCGTCCTGGCGGCCCCAACACCCTCTTCCGAGCGCTCTTTGACCCCCTCAACGGCGTCGTCGTCTTGGACGGGAGACGCCCCGCGGACGGTCGCCGATGACGAGGCCCTGCTCTCCGCGCACCGGCGCCGCCGCCACCGGCGGAGCAGCCTCGGCGGCAGACACCACGGCGACGTGGACGCCCTGCGGAGGCTCCTGTTCGGCCTGAGGCCGCTCCAGGACCACGACGTCGACTTCGGCGGCCTTGAGGTTCGCGACCTGTTCCGCGGCGGCGATGGCGGCGTGGCGGCGCTCACCCGAGACGTGGTGCTGCTGCCGCTCACCGGCTACGACGATGAGCCGGATGACGGTGCCGACGACGGCGTCCTGAGCGCCATCGTGACGGCCCCCAGGAGGACCCGGTGCCCGCCCGGAGAGCGGTACTACGAGCGACGCTGCAGGAAGGTCTGGCGGTAAAAGGCAAGCGTGTCACGGTTACAACTGCGAGTCCAGCGCCGGGTGCAGCCCGTGGCAGCTGATATGTTACTACTAGTCATTTTACCGCCGGAGCGCGGGTCGCCAGTGTTTTGTGTTTTAGAGTGTGAGCTGTGTCTTTGTTACTTAATACAAATCGAGGGGGTATTCACTTGTACAGAGCACTCGGCACTACAACGAATTACGTGGTATTACCGGGTATTACGCCGATATTACTCGTAAAATTTTGCTATTGTATAGCACATTTTTTTTATTTTTCGTTATTACATTACAAGTAATGCAGCGTGAATACCCAGGTGGGGTGTACAGGGTATGACGGGAGTGAATACCCGCTCAATACAAATTAGTTGGGGGTTGGGGGGCAATTTCGTGGTGAGTATGATCGTGGGGTTCGTTCGTCAATGTGATCTTATGTGATTTCGGTACTGAATTTACGAAAGCTCGTCCTGGTGACGGGCAACTGTTTAATTAATTGAAACAATTTTGTACCACCCGGTGACTTTTCTGTGCCTTCAGATAATGTCTTATTCCTTACTCTCTAAGTATCGACTGATATTCTCAGTAGTTTAAGTAATTGATCAAATTAATGTAAGTAGTTTTATTATCTCCCTCTTAACGTAAACTTATTTATTAGCTCCTCTGGGACGACGTATTTATATTTATTTCGATTGTATGCATTCAGATCAAATAAATTGGATCAGATCTATAATCTCTAGTGTGTCCTTCCTGCTCGGAACATTCTGGCATCTAGTTGTCATCGGCTTACTGGTATCGTTGATTAATTGTACCCTCTGTTCAAATTTTGCAAAGGAAATGCTTTGCAGACGCTTTCCTAATTGCGAATGCTTGGGATGCCTCAGACTACGAAGTAACACTTTTCAATGACAATGCACCGTAAAAATAGTTTCTTGTATTTCATGACCTCGTCTTGGATGCCATTGGCATTCTCCAAAAGATCCAATATAGGGTTTTGAAATACAAGGAACTCTTTTTACCATGTGCTCTGTAGTGTACAAAGCGTGAGTTTGCTTCGTAGGGGATAAACAGTGCCCTCGAAAACACTGTGACAACCTTTTCTCTGGTGACAACTTTCCTCTCTACTCACGGCATTGAAGCTCATGTGCTTAAGCTATGAGAAACGTCTAAGGGGGGAAAGCCCGAAAAGAAAACAAAATAAAAAGAATTGGGAGGGTGCAGCTTATTGTGTTAAGTACCGCTCTCCATCTCCACCCATGGCCCATCGTGTCCTCAATGGCAACAGCCGCGCGACGACCTTGCGAGCCGGAGGGCCCAGAGGGGAGCGCGCCGCGCGGTGTCGTCGCCCCCCGGGAGGCAGAGGGGTGAGGCGCGCTGACTGAAACCGCTCTAGAGCATGCACGCTGACACTGAAGGGAAGTCACGGTAAAGAGCACTCTAGAACTTCACGGGCTGAAATTATCGACCAGCCTCTCGCCATGAAAGGGGTTATTCGAGGCTGCTGGGCCGCAGAGCCACACACGTACGCACACTCGTAAGATAAAAGGAATACTTTTTTTATTCGGGATCATCCATTTGTTTAGAGAGAGGGAGACAGGAAGAGCGCAATGGAGGGTGGGAGAGGGAAAGGGGGAAGAGGGGGAGAGAGAGAGAGAGAGAGAGAGGGGGGGGTGAAGAGAGAGAGACGCGAGCGGCCGCGACCCCGTTACTGCCCCTCGCAGAGGGCTCGCTCGCACTAAGATTCCGGCCTGCTGACGCTTGAAATCATTCGTCGCAGACATTTTTGTCTCCGGCACGGCGACGACGGCAGTCCACCGGCCAAGCCCGGCGGGATGGTTCGGGCAGCTCGGCCGGCACGGCACCGGGCGCTCGGCGGAGAATCTGCTGAGGGCCTCGGGGCCTCGGGGGTGCTAAGGCTAGAGTCCTATATATAGGACTCTAGCTAAGGCCAGCACGCACCCTTCAACCGCGAACAGCTGCCGGCCGGGGTCGCGCAGACAGGCGGGAGGAAGCCGGG